CGATCTCCAAATTCTACCACGTATGCTATGCTCTCTGGACATAACAACCCGACAGACGCAATGTCCAGCTCCATCATATGATCGTACAGCAATCTAGTAGTTTCACATGTAAACAAGAATTACAATTATAAGAAATAATTATACTTACAAAAGTAATTTATTCGTACATAGTCCTTGACATACCTAAAGAAAACAATGATGATGGTCTGATCCACCTCCTCCCGTCGCATGAACTCACGTATATTCTCCGGGCGCATCCTCAGCTCCGTCTCATTCGGATAGAGCATAGACTCAGGGTTGAGAATAACGCTGATGGTAGGTAAAGCAGATGTGCGTGTCAGCCACTGACACAACTCTCTGCACCTCGGCCCGAAAGTGACGTATAAGCTCTGGGCAACAACATCTTGTACGGGAGATCTAGGAGCAGTGGGACGTACCCCGAGAATGGGACGAGATTTGCTTGATGAGAAGTCGTCATGTTGAGCCGTCTGCACTGGGGGCTACGAATATTTTTAAAAAATTTATATATGAAACACAGCCCAAATGATGTTTAATAAAAAAACTAAATTTATTTACTTACATCTCCAATGCCCACCAATGACTTAAGCCATGCAACGAAGCTCCCCAAGCAATCGGCCACAGTCTCTATATGCTCAGTTGGACAAGGAATGGTATATTCACCCATTCCAGGAAGCACAAGGGTCACAGAGACCTTAACCTGGTGGGGAAGGAGGGGAACACCGTGCACCATATCTCCCGGTGCACGTGGGAAAACCGATCCATGTGCCACTATGTAATCTGATGGATCAGAGATCCTCAAGTAACAAGGAGAAACCTACAAAATACAATTAGTAAACTATTTTCGGAAACAAGTAAACGTAAACTAAACGGGAAACCTTAATTACAAAATATATGTACCTCAGTGACACCGGCGACGTCAACAAAATCTGTAGACGCCTTGCTACTACGCTGAAGCTCATAATGAGGTGGTACAGACGGTGTGTGCTGCGACATGGATGCCCCTTCTGGAGCACTCCCGGACACAGATAGTCCATACTGCTGCAGAAGGGAAGGAAGACGCTGCAAAAGATCATCCTCAGTCAAATAGTTACCTTCGGGCTTACGAGGCTTCATGTTGCCATTAAAAACTTTACGTAAGCCCGAATATGACCCAACACCCCTCGTCCGTCCTGGGTGCT